ACACACACACACACACAGCTTGAAGAACACTAAAAACAGCTTGTATAGTTTTTTTAAATAAAGATATTTCATCCCACGTATACATGACTCGTGCTTTTACAGCGTACTCATTTTCTTACAGGTGCTCATATATTTAATACACTTGGGAAGTATTTTAAATTATATGAACTATGAACACTGATGTCTGGGAACTGTATATCAAGCATTTGGATCAAAATAAACTATCCTTACAACATGTTTGTGTGTGTACGCGCAGGTAAGCCTGAGCTGAGGTCAGAAGTGGACATCATCGTGGCAGATGTAGGAGAACCGGACTCCCTGGCCGCCATGTGCAAACAGGCTGTGATTGTTCTCAACTGTGTGGGGCCTGTAAGTAGACGATTACACAGTCATGTGTTTACCTCTGCTTATTTTTCTTTAACACACAGAACTTGTCCGTCACATGGAACAAACTAGTTTTTCTCACATCGTCTCACAACGTTGGCATTTTGGCATCTCCCTTTGGCATCATTACAGCTCAACTTCTGCCTATCTATCTCTTCTCTCTCTCTCTCTCTCTCTCATACACGCACAGTACAGCCTTCATTTACACAATGACAGCTACTGACTTACACCACACAATAAGTCGTATTGTGTTAAAGTCAGAATGGAAAGTAGGTTTTCATCAGTACTGTAACCACTGCTGTTGCACACAGCAGCACTTTGCCAAACTGAGGCACATAGTTGAAGCCAAAAGGAGATGGACCTGAAAGAGCATAAATGCAAAAATGTATTAGCCCAATTTGGCATTTTACTTATAAAAAACCTGAAAAAAATGAATCATTTGATGTGATATTGAAGATGTGTATATAAAACATTTGACAGCACAATGAAGAAGTGAACAGGATTTGCCTAGAAAGCTGGCTTGTGCAACATCAAACTGTCTTTCTGTGTGGAAAGCCGAAGAGAGATCATGTCTTGTTTCTGCACTAGCAACATGGGGGTGCCTGTGCAGACAGATAGGATCTGAGCGGATAAAGGGGGGCATTGAGTGAAAATGAGTGTCAGGGATTTAACAGTGATGAGTATTATAGTCGATGTGAAATTGGCCAATTTCAACCAAATTAGGAAAGGAAGAAATATTGTAATGAATTAATTTGTGTATGTGCATGTATGTTTGGGTGTATAGTACAGGTTCTACGGTGAGCCAGTGGTCAAAGCCTGTGTGGAGAATGGAGCCCACCATATGGACATCAGTGGAGAGCCTCAGGTATGTATGGCTTTAGTACGGTATTTCTGTACTACAATGTGTGCATATAGTAAGTCACTCCATCAACATTAATCATTGCGTATACTGAAAGAGCATTAAAGGGCGATAGTTTTTCTCTTAATATTTCTGATTGTCATCAAATTGCTATATAAGAATTAAAATCTTCTCTCTCTACCTGAGTGCTGTCAGTGGACATGGCGTGATTGTTGCCCTGCAGATGTCCTAACATTCAGCTTTGCTGTTGTTTGTGTTTTGGATTAATTGGAGACGTGCTTAGTTTCATGCTGTAGCCTGTTGGACAAAATTATCTCTGACTTGGCTGCTTGACAGCAGTTTTCCCTCTGTCAGATGCCTGTGTGTGTGTCTGTGTGTGTCTGTGTGTGTGTGTCTGTGTGTGTCTGTGTGTGTCTGTGTGTGTCTGTGTGTGTCTGTGTGTGATGCAGCATCA